ATATAAATCGTGGTACGGCATTTATATATATAAATCCGGGATTTATATGGTGACGGGATTTATATACGACATATATATATTACACAAACTGTAATTTAGTATGGTTAAGTGAGCAAGTGCTGTCGTAGGAAAGGCAATACGAGATAATAATAATTAAATTTACGCACTAACCATAACACATAGCTTTATGTAATCAACCGTGTGCGTGAGAAAGTATATAATTGACAATTGAACTCTCCATTGTTTTCAATTACAGTAAGATCTGTTATCAATATAACTTTCCCCAACTATTCCAAAAAAAAGCCATTGTACTGCACAAACGTGGTTGTATATTGTACATAAGTAGAAGCACTTTTGAACCCGATCATAATTCTCACGCGCAACATGTCGAAAAATTTTTATACTCAACTTTTAAATAATTTTTCGCAGCTATTCGAAAGTGGCAAAAACTCTGACCTCATTTTATATGTAGGTTATAAGCACGATATAAAAGTATTCAAAGTACATACTCAAATATTGTGCGCTCAATCAACATATTTCCAAGCTGCACTGTCCAAAAAATTGTTCAAAAAGGAAGATGATTGTTATGTTTTTGAAAAAACAAACGTCGAGGCCGATGTGTTTGAAATCATTCTAAGGTAAAGTGCGTTAAACAAATCTCTCTTCAACGTATAGTATTCTGAAATTTAATGTCATACACCATTCATTATAGATATCTGTATACGGGAGAAGCGAATATAGGAAACTGTGATGGATTTCAGATCCTTAAATTGCTGGTTGCATCGGACGAACTGAATTTGAGTGATCTACTTCAGTTCGCGCAGAGTTACCTTATTGAATCAAGAAAATCCTTCCTAATTGAACAACCAGTCCGAGTGCTTGAATCAATTTTCCGACTTGAGTCGTGCGAAATGCTTAGACTCTTTTGCATTGATGCAATTTGCGACGGCGGCACAAAGTTGTTCGATTCTGACATTTATTTGACATTAGAAGAAGACATATTCGCACAGATATTGCAGCAAGATAAATTGCATATAAAAGAAGTTGCATTGTGGAAAGGTGTTTTGAAATGGGGCGTAAGCAGACATCCAGAGCTGAAAAACCCCCCGACAGAATGGTCGACAGATGATGTGAATCGAATGAAGAAGACACTAGCCGGTCTTATTAAACACATTCGGTTTTTTACAATTTCTGCAGACGAATATTATGACGAAGTTAGGCCATACAAAAAATTATTTTCTAAAAAACTAAGGGAAGAAATGTTGCAATTTATAATGCCACCATCCAGAAAACCGGAAGATATTATGGCAAAAACTAGAGGCAGACTGTTAGATTCGGGATTGGTTGATTATCCTATCATGGCTCTTATTGCTGGTTGGGTCGATTCAATGAATACTGCCTATGACGAGATCCCCTATGAGTTTACACTTATTTATCGGGCAAGTCGTGATGGATTTGATAATCAAAAATTTCGTAACATGTGCTCCTCCAAAGGCCCAACTGTTGTTATTGCCAAAGTTATGAACCATCCAAATATATTCGGCGGCTATAATCCCTCAGATTGGTCTGCTTATAATTCAGTTGGCTCTCCATCATGCAATTATACAAGTAACGGTTTTATTTTTGAGATGCCTGATGGAAAGTCGACCGCAGGAGCACGCATTGGTAGGCTCAACCGCGGTGATAATCGATATTGTCACAGTCATTATGGTCCATCTTTTGGTAATTTTTATATAAATGGACAAGCATGGAATTCAAATATTTCAAAACGTAATATTTACAGATCATCTTCTCATATGACTTTGTATGGAAATAAACGAGCACGATGTTCAAATAGAATAGCATGCAGTATTGCTAGTGGAACTCTTGAAGAATACGAAGTTTTTACAATAAAAAAAAAGGATTAAATGAATAAAATATTAAAGCTTTCTCTATATTATCTTATCTCAGTAAATCGGTGTAACTATTTATTACTGCAGTACTGCAAACGAGTTATGGTTTTTCTAATAATTCTCCTGACTCAGTTGTCGTTTTCTTTCCTATAACTGTTGTGCCCCATTCTGGGATTTAACCCATTTTGCATTTTGCGATGTGATCATTTCCGATTATCGATACACCATAGTATACTAGATACACCAACGATGACGTTTCTTTTAATAACACGATTTATCTTAAACGCGCAGGATTAAGAAATGATTGAACATCCGTCTATTCATTTTTAACAATAAATTGTTGCAAGGATATACAGTGGATAGACAAAAGTCTCCGATGCTTAAAACTTAGATAATAATTGGCAATGAAAATTTAGTTAATTCTGACATACCAATATAATGTTTATCATCGTAATGCAAGCTTGCACTCTCTCTTTATAATATTTAGATAGGCACATTTTAATATTGTTTTGATTTATCCAAGCAGTTAGGGTTAGGGTTGGTCTTGGAAGACAGGCAACATATTAATATTGTCCGTATCGCTAGAATGTATCACTTAGCGTGGATTACAGAATTTAAAAAATTCACGAGTTTTTCGAATATTAAGACTAATCCGTAACACAATAGCTTCAGTTCGCTCAAATCCAGAGTTCTAAGTTAGCTTTATTTTATGCGGTTAATATTAAGAAATAATATTAAGTAACTCTTGTTGTGGTAGACTTTTTTTTTGGATTTGTAAACAAAGTTCTACAGTGCGATCACAATTTTATGCGCAATTATTATGTAAGTTTTCGAAAAAATAACTGTCCGGAGACTTTTGTCTACTCATACTAATACTTGTTAAACGTACAGTCATAACAATTAATGCAATCGTTGTTTGCAGGGGATATCAGTCGTTTTACAATCACAACAGTGTACCATCATACGATATTTAGTCTTCAATCATAACAACGTACCTCTGACAAATAGTCTTCATTAATAAAAGCATCAATAGCAGGATACTCTTGATTGTTGTGCTACAACTGTTAGAGTAATAAATGAGCTTTTTACTTCATTAATAACTTACGAGCAGAGGTTTCATTGCTATAAATTAGCAGTGTTTTTTTCACAAACATTTCCCATATTAGCTTACGCTTAAACTAAATTAATCAGAAATAGAATTTCATTCTTCGACTATACAGTCCTACTTTTCCTACATTATTTTTGGCCAAATGCCATAAATTTCCTATATATAGACAGGCCACTAGTAAATTTGATCGATATATTTTGTAACTGAATCTGACAGCAAAAAGCTAAGGTTGAGAAACAAAGGTTTGAACTTGAGTTTAAAAACAACCGTAAGTGTTTACAAAAACACAAAACAAAACAATTTGTATCGCATAAAATATACGCGTTCGAAGAGCTTCTATTTTATATTTTTTTCGTGATACACTGTATGTTCGATCTTTGCATAAAGTAATAGTGGCTCTGAAATGGCAGAAGATTTCTGGGTTAATAATATATATAAGTAAACAACAGCAAGTTCGAAACATAGAATTTATTAAAATTCGACGTAAGTTTTCGATACAGTCAAGACTCGATATAGTAAAGTCTCGATATAGTAAATTTCGCATTATAGTCAAGAATTCCTCTGAACAAAA